GAGGCAGAGTTCATCCCCTCCCAGGGTTGGCGGCAACGACGACCACGGTGTTTCATGTCTTGGTGTAGCGCGCAATGTTTCGAGCACGACGTGCCACAGTCGTCGCTGCGAAACATTAGGTGGGTGTACTTCCGCGAAGGAATTGGTCGCGTTTCATGCTTCATCAAAACCCAGTGTATTGGGTGAGCAATTTTTGTGCAACCATGCATCGTGCACGTGCTATAGGCACACCATGGGAGCAAAATGATGCCACCAGAAACACAACCGCCTCCGGTCGTTTTTTGCAGGGATACGAAGGATTGTTGAGGCGACCCATGCTCGTGGATGCAACGGCTCAAGCCCTGCTCAACGAGGCGGACAGCGCGGACGGTGGGACCAGGGGGTCGACCATAAAAACCTGCGCCAACAATGCTTGCTATTTCAACGCCGTTGCGTTGGGGGGGGTTGGTGCCAGGTACAAAACCCCTGACGAAGCGCTGGAGCTGTCTCTGTCGGTGCGTGTAGCCGTAATCCGGGCGGCCCTAGTACATTTGCAGACATTCATCAGCGGTCCTGGGTACGGTGGCTTCTACTGTACGCTGCAGGCGTATTCCGCGAAAGAAGTTGAGGGCGCTTGGAGGCTCGGGTACAGCACTCCTGAGGTCTTGACAGAGAGCGTAGCGAGAGTTCTGTACCTGCTTGCCGTGCGAGAGGTCGCTTGCGAGTTCAGCGACAGCCAACAGGCGGCCATACCGTGGACAGCACAAGCATTTGGGGTGGAGATGCGGTGCTTTCACCCAGGTGAGTTGGTTTGTATTCAGGATGATTTCCCCGTAAGATAGAAGACGGCAAGCTTGCAAAGCTAAATCGGTATGAGGGCTCCCGCTCTCGTTAGGTCTCCACCTGTCACGATTAACCCGGACAACCCCCTTCCACCACCCGCAGGGCAGGACTTCCTGAAGAATCGGCAGCACCACGACGGCGTTTTTTCTGTTTTGTGCCAGTACATTCGTGGGAAGTTCGAAAGTATTCGCGCCAAAAAGTCCAACAACACGGCTATGACGCCGTGGGAGGATTGTCTGGGAAACTTGAGGTTACTAATTGACGGCGAGCCCATCCTGTCTCAGGATTTTTTGGAGACGTTACATTTTAAGTCGTGGCACAACGACAAAGACAGCTTGATAATTGGTGACGAGGGCAACGGTATAGGAGAAGGGGAACTCCAGGCCCTACACCACGCCTACCTGGTCGGTCGAACAGCGGGCCCGCTGACGGGGGAGGGTGGCGGTAGTAGCTCCGAGAATAACCAAGAGGGACAAGGGGAAACACCACCCGTTCGGGTCGAGGTAGTATCTATCCACAGGGACGTTTGGGTAGCAGCCCTTCTCGCGTATGCCCTTTACCCGCACATTCGAATAGTTCGAGTGGTAGTGCGACAACAGAGTGGGTTGAATGATGAAGCCGTCGTTAACTGCATCGACGTGCTTGAACTTTTCGAGGCCCTGGCCAAAATGGAGAATTGGCCGCATTCGTTCACCGGTTTGCAGAGGTGCTTGCCGGTGATTGCCTCGTACATGCTCAACGGCACTGACTTCACTCCGACGCTTTCCGGCTTGAGTTCTTTCTTCATGTTCCAGTCATACTTCGAGTTAGCGAAGAATGCTGAAAACCACCAGTTTGTCAAGGCCCTGGGCACCGAATTAATAGAGGATGGGGTAGTCACTGGTTTACATTTATTTGGAGAGGCAAGAGTTGGTTAAGTTTGTTGCGCTCGCGTACTTTGTCCAGAACAAAAGATTATTTGCTAACGCTTTGCCGGGGTATCAAGTCACGGGAGATAAACAGGAAGGGGAGGTTGATGATACGAGGAGGTGGGTCGAAGCGATTCAGGAGCGAACTGCTGAAAAATGGTACGGTGCGGGGAACCTCAGCAAAGCCGCCCCGAACTACGATGCCGCCGAACTTTGCGTCCTCCGGATGTCATGGTTGGTAGAGTACTGGCTTTCTGTTGTGCCGAGTGATTCTCCGGGTTCGGACGCCTCCGCCAGGTACCCCATTCAAGTTTCCAAATGGGACGGGATGTGGTACATTGAGAAAACGGAGGTTGAAGGTGGTTGTATGATGTTGATGCGCAGGTTCCCTAAGGTCACCATCTGGCCGGGTGGATTTGAAACGGTGAAGTGCATGTGTTCAAGCGCGAAGAGGAAGCGAGGGGGGCACTGCACAAGTTGCGTGTGCATCACTAAAGGTTTTGGCCATTGCTCAGAGTTGTGCAAGTGCAAGCTTAAATGCCGCGAGGAAGAGACGGAAGAAAGTGAGATGCAGGAAGATCGTTCAGCTGAAGGAGGACTTGTAGACATGGGCGAAGATAGTGACAGTGACAGCGACAGCGACGAGGAACAGTTGCCGGGTATGTTTGAAGTCTCGAACAATAACGCCGAGTCGGGTGTTAGTGGCGGCTTGGTTTTAGGTTGTTTCCAGGAGGATGACGTTCGTGAGTACGAGCAGATAGCTGAAAACGCGTGGCGGCATCATGTAGGACAACCGTTGGATCTTGTGGGTGCTGGGACTAATGAAATGTCCATTTGAGACATCGGTTTTTTGTTCGTGCGCAGGTGAGCAAAACATATTGTGGGAGCTTGCATGAATGGTGACCAACGTGCTGGCAGTGGCCTCCACTGCAGGGATATTGAAGTCGGCCGCTTCTCACCCCGTACACCTCAGTTTTTTTTAGTTACGCAACGCACGCGCGTACGAGTCATCCTGTTTCATGTTGCGACTACAACAACACACGCAAAACAAAACAAAAAAGCGCTTTAGTGCAAAAAAAAAAATCCTTGACACCAGAACTCATGTCGTGCACGCGATACTGCCACACCCATACGTATGCTTGTATGCCTACAGCACGCCCCGAAAAAAAAAAAAAAACGATCGGGGGTGACTCACGTCAATCTCCGACTATCCCCCATCCCCGAAATAGATGTCTTAGACACGTCACGCCTTGTACACATGTCCAAACCCAA